GTACAGTGAATGCAAATTATCTGCTGTGGAATCGCATCTGGGCAATCCAGTGCGTCTGTGGAGTGCGCCTGCATGTTTTCTTGTTAAGCAGGTTGTAGCATAGAGCAGATACAAGTTTGCGTTGCTGGAGTTCTGACTGTGAGTTCCAGCGGAACCCTATTAGCTGATCACCTTCTAGCCTGATTGTTTTAGTAGGGGGTTAGCTCAATGAGGAAGATCAGGTATGTATAGATTCAAAGACAAACATTTACTTCAGCTTTTATATCGCTGCATTAACTGTTGGATCTTGTCAAGTAAAGATTTAAAGTAAGTACGCAGCAAAACTTTGTTGAGTTCTCTTTATCATGCTGAAAGAGTTGAGCTGTATAACTTTAAGTTTGAAATAGTGACTTACAGATGTGCAAGATTTCTCCCAAAAAGTTAACTAAATGTAACAATGGGTAATTGTTAAAAAGGTTATGAGTTGTGAGCAGTTGTGATGTACTGCCACTGGCCAGATCTGTTTTTAAAGTGTTGAAGAGTGGTTTTCTGATGGTGTACTGTTAAGAGCAGCTTAAATGTCAGCAATTTGGCAATATTTTACACGGGAGAGTCCCACAAGTAAAAAGAAGAAGTGGATGGCACTAGTAATTAAAACACTATCAATCTTATAAAGCCATCACACAGTTTAATAAAGGAATTGATATGTATAGATCCATTTAGTTTTGAAATTGCTGTTAATGTTTGTTTTACTGTTACTCTTTTACTGTACTGTAGGAAACTTAAAGGTCCAGTGTCTAAGATTTAGGTGAAAGGGAACTATTGGCAGAAATTGAATATAGAATAATCCTCATGATGTTTTCAGTAGTTCATTTCATCTAAATTGTATGAATTGTAGTTTTCTTTACCCCAGTGAAGGCCCTTTATATTTAAATACTTTATGTTTACATCGAGGGGACCCTCTCTACGGAGGCTGACATGTTTTTTACATTAGTCCAGACTGGACAAACTAAACACCTTTAAGTTTTATGACAACTGAAGCTACCACAGGTTTTTTTTCATGTTTGGAAGGAAAGGGTGAGGTGAGGGGTGTTCAGCTGCAACATGAAATTTCAACACTACAATCTATGAGGCTTCTTGTATTACAGAGCTGCACGCTCTCAGGCATGTAGGTCGCGTGGTAGAAAAAAGCAGTCAGGAATGATGTCCAAGAGGTGTGTCTGGCTGCCTTTCAGAATAGGCAGACATAAGTTCTGCTGTAGTTGTGTGTGTTCCCATTGTCGTGATGTGCATGCTGTCACTGCTATGTATGAGATCAAACTCGGTTATGTTCAGTTGGAAATCCCAGTAATCAATCCTCTTAACTCTTGGTGGAGAATACCTGCTCAGATGGTTCTGTGGTCCAAGAATATTTTCAAGGGATAAACTGATGGTATTGATCAGTTAAAATTCTTATTGTCTGTTAAAGGTTAAACATTTATGAGGAACTTTCCTATTTCGAAACAGCAGTGAGCTATGGGGAATTTCTGGGGGTTTGAAGAGGGTGTCACTTTCCTTTTTTTTTGTGCATTTTTCAGCTCTTTGTCAGACAGTTGGCCGATCATGTTCCCATATTAGACAAAGCACATACAGGAAGCTGCCGCAACTCTTCAGTCTTTGACAGCTGTAAACCTGCATCTCTTTAAGGAACTGCAGTTTGTGATTACTTCTATGCAGGGTCACATAGCAGCTTGCAACTCAGTGCCCTCTGTCTAGAAATAGGTGGTCAAGCATATGTAAATATATGTGAATCCTGACTTTAATATGTAAAACTGCCACATTATTCTGGTATTTGTGTATGGACATTTTTTTTACAGCCATTCTCCCTCAGATAGTACTGTGTACCATCTACTGTGATGATGTCACCACAGTCATGTTATTATTTACTTCAATTAGTCAGCTCACCCAGTGCGGATATGTTTGATTGTAGCTGTCATTCAAACAATGGTTAAGAAATACTTTTTCCTCCTCCCCCTTGTGTGTGTGTGTGTGTGTGTGTGTGTGTGTGTGTGTGTGTGTGTGTGTGTGTNAGAAATACTTTTTCCTCCTCCCCCTTGTGTGTGTGTGTGTGTGTGTGTGTGTGTGTGTGTGTGTGTGTGTGTGTGTGTGTGTGTGTCTAGATGTTTGTTTCTCGTGAGTGTTTTAGGTTTCCTGTTCTTGGTGAGGTTCTCTCTCCCACTTAATAGAACACAGACAACCAAACCTCTGAACTGGCATGTGAGCGGTCCACATAAAAGGGTAAGAATTAGAATGAAGCTTTTACATTTACTACAAACTTTTCACCCCTCTCAGAGGTAAAGGTAACAGTGTTAGAAATATCGATTGAAACCACTATTTTTTTAAAGGAAAGGAATTCTGGAGAAACCATATGACCTGAGTCACTGTCACAAAGACTGTATGATGCCCATTTTCTTACATCAGCGTCCTATTTATTCACACCTGAAACACAAATCACCATTCACATGTGTGTGCCGCTGTAAGTAGGAGGCAGATGTCTACTCAGCAGTTAGTTACACTTATCTCGTTTACACCAAGATTAGCGGGTATAGGCAGGTTGATCCATTGCTGTCGATCAGAGATGGAGCTAATAAAAGCCTGTGTCTACTGCAGAGTCATTTGACCCAGGAGTGAATGCCCATTGTATCGATTCCATTAACAGATATTTTATCATTTTATAAGTCAGATATTATTGGGTTTTTTGACCTCTGGGAAAGAGGCTGTAGTTACAGGAAATACTGCAAACAATCATTTTGAAAAGTAAACACAGGGATTTCTCCTCTGGGACTGACGACGAGGTGGAACTGTGCCTGACAAGTGTAAGAAACATGTTTCATTCCATGCTGGTAGTCAAGTTGTGACTGATAAGAACCAGTCGAGTTTTCACAGTTTTCGGTTTTAGGGGCTTGATAGCTGGAGAAGTGTGGACAACAGGTGTTTAATTTCAAAACCAAATCTTAGTGTGGTTTATGCCCTATAAGAATGGCTGACACAAAGCCTGTTTGGTATGATTGGGGAAAATATTAGATAAATGTTTCTCCACAAAATATTAATCCACATCCACCAATTACTTATTTTGCTGCCTTGAATTAGTTAATGGACTCAAACTAAACATTCTGTTGGATGTAAAGGTTAGGAGCTGGAACAGACTAATGGGTGGTTTTCTCTTGTGTAGTTGATTTGGCTTGAGCAACATACTTACCATGTAACACTGTTATATGCAGTGTAATGAATGGACTGAGGGGAGTAGTATTTATATTCAGAGTGACTCCAAGCAACTCAATTTTTGTAATATTTGACCATGTGCCTTTGACAAGCTAGCGTTTCATACAGACTAAAATACCAACAACTAATAGACATGCATTATTCATTGGTAAGTGTTGTTACAGCTGGATGTCAGTAATGGTGATCCAGGCGAGGACGGAGTAGTCAAAGAGCAGTGGGATGTGTGACAGTTAGACATTTATAACCGTCGTAGAGGTTGCACCACACTTTCGACACAGGGTTAGATGGTTAAGTCTATTGTTTGCCTTTTGTTCAAGGTAAACAAAATGCTTATCCCAACTTGTTATGTTTTGAAATGTTGCTCCCTTACTGGTTGTGCAATGTTAACTTGACACTGTTATTAGGCTTCACGTGTCAGCGTTCATTTTAATCCCCCACATATTTGACCAGTGCGATTTACATGTGTGTGAACTAAAATTACCTTTAGAAACCTGAGATAAATTATTTACATTGTATAAGTGCAGTACAACACTTTCTAGAGTTTGCCCCTGTTAATCTCACTGTAATTACATATCATCATCAGCCTCTATCTTATCTGCAGTTGGTCCATAAGCACGTGAACAAAGTTCTGGAGGCCCCGTGTCATCGCGGCAACACTCGGAAGAACTTGTTAACTCGACTCCCTGCTTCAGGCCATGTGACTCAGCCCTTCTTGGGGAAGGACGTGCCCCTCCCTGATCATCTTTTCCTTTATCCACCTCCTTTTGGGTTAAAAGATGTTGGCAGTGAAGTAGAGGATATTCTGAAGCTGGTGAATACAACTTCTTTGTCTCTTTCTTACGTCGTATGTAGTTTTTATTTTACGATTATATTCAGAGTAGCCATATTTACTTAATAGTACATTGTATGTTCCTGACCATGTGAATGTAGTTGGAGTGAATGAAAATGAAGATCATGTTTTTTCCGTCATATATGTATGTATTGATAATGCATGATCCAACTTGAATAATACAAATAGCAAATACTAATGCACTAATCCAAATTATTTTCACAGTGGAATTATTGATACTGAGAAAAATTTTGTGACACAGTAATTGCTTGAGTGGATTCACATTACAAATAAATAACATCAAATACTAGCACCTACTACTTTGGATTTTGACCCTGAAAGTTACAACATCAAGAAAGAAAGAAATAGGAAGGATTTAAGAGGCAATGGATTATTTAAACAATATTATCATATGTGTATAATTAACAAAATGGATTTTGCTATATATTGCAACACCTCAAATTTTAGTCATAATTAAATAAAAGATAGCTTTAATTTCTCACATTTAAAGATAATCTCAGGAGATAAAACAGTCACTGAGCATTTTATTTGGAACACACTCACTGACCCTTATACCTTACTGGGTCAGGCCTTGTTATGTTGTCAAAACAGCCCCTGTCTTGTTGGTATGGATTCCTAAAGATGAGTGACATAGTTCATATATTATATAGCTGCACAAAAAAGGATATGAAAAATGATCTTAAATATTTAGGCTTAAGATTATAATGTAGACTTGATGCATCAAGGAGACCAGAAGGTGGAACAATATACAAACACTAACAGAGTAACATGAGCAACTGTCACCCAGTCTGAAGATGTCTCCCCCAGCATCCCAATATATCTTCCTCTACTTGTGTCACCCATTCTACCAGCACATCAATGAATGATGAATTAGTGTCAGTCTCTATGCTACATGTATGTGTTTGCATCTTATTGGATAATGGTGAAATATGCAAAAGAGTTGAAGTTGGTGCCTCTCTGTCTGGAGCCTCTGAGTCAGATACGAATGTCACTAAGCGTAAACACAACAATAGAAGGTTAGATGATAGGTGGAAAAGCTCAAAATTAAAGAAAGGTGAATTCAGACCCCAATTCTGGAGAAAAAGCACACCTATAAAAATGTCTTCCAGAGAGGTCCAAAAGAGAATAAGGTGTTACTAGAGTTTCTTTGGGGTAAAATTAAAACAAAACACTAGTAAAGCCCCTTTGGAGGCACAAATCTAATGTTTCTCTCTGTGGTTTTTCCTGAACAGCTGGAAAACTCTCACTCTGCTCAGCCATCAGATAAATGTCAGCACTGTGTGGTCGTGGGGAATGGAGGCATTCTCAGAGGCCTGGAGCTCGGCCCCCTGATAGACAGATATGACACCATCATCAGGTTAGAAAATTAAATACAATGATATGACGATTCATTCAGTATAATGGTTCTTGTTTGTGGCGAGGAGCAAGGACCAAAGGAGTGTTAATACTATAACATGCTGAGTGAACAATAACCTGCTTGACTAAAAAATAAATGATGTGAATCAAGTTTCATTTTGACTCTTGTGCCTTGAGTGCTGGTTATCTGTATTTATCACCGACTCTTCCTGCTGTGCACAATCAATAGAGCCATGAGTTAATAAATTGCATTCAAAAGCAGCCTTTCAATAACTCTGTGAGTCCCTTTCCTTCAGGTTAAACAGTGGTCCTCTGGGAGAGTTCAGTGTCGACGTTGGAAATCGAACTAGCATCAGAATGAGTTACCCAGAAAGCACGCCGCTCCACTGGGTGGATACAGACCCTCACACTCTGTTTGTAGCTGTGGTGTATAAAAGTGTGGATGTCAGCTGGTTGTCTGCTATGATCAACAAGCACGCTGTGGTGAGTGGAGTATGTCTCTGTTTGGACTCATTAGATCAATTTTGTCTATTAAATTGCTGAGCCTGTTGTGCATGAAGTGAGGTTCAGAGGTTGTTTTGTAAAAGACTGTTCGCTGCAATAAAAAGTAGAGGTTACATTTTGTCACCATGTTGATGAATGTTAGAGAAACAATCCAGGCAAAACGACAATGCACTTATAATTTTCATACATTTGAAGTAAAAAAAACAGTCAGAACATCTGCAAGAAGTAAAATGATGAAGATAATCTGTAAACTGAATTCTGAATTCAATGTAATTTTTCCTGCAATATATATTTTTCTCTTATCTTAATTTTGTTAAGATGAGGCCTATGCTTTGTGTTGCAGTCTCTGTGGAACAGACTATTCTTCTGGCAAAAGGTTCCAAATCAAATCCCTCTTGAGCCGCGGAGTTTAAGACTTTTAAACCCGCATGTCATCAGAGAGACGGCAATAGACCTGCTGAAGTACCCTCCTCCCAGACCACGCCTGTTGGGCTGGGACCAGGTAACAAGGACGTCTGTCTGTTTGCCTGTCTGTCTGTGTCTCTGTCTCTACGTCTCTCTTTCTGATATATTTAAATCATGAAGCAGACAAGAAGCTACATACCTTTATGCCTTTTACATGTGCAAACCCTCAAAAGCATATTTGACACATAAGAAACACCTCACATCACCACAATCGCGCCCCCCCGAAGAACTCTGGCGCCCCCTAGGGGAGGCGCGCCGCACATTTTGAAAAGCCCTGCTTTAGCACAAACCACCTTTTGCTTGGGTCATAAGCAACAGGTGCCTGCAGCACTTTGTCTGGTTGTGACAGAGGGGAAGAGTTTGTCTCGGAGACTTCACCTGGAACCTCCTTTACTGTTACACTCAACATAATGTGTATTATATTGTTTTTATGTTATTTGGACTGATGGTTGATAGGTTTGGAAAAATATCAAATTTAAATTTGAAAATGTGTTGTTTTATTTTGTATTTATTTTTACAAAATAAAAATAAGTCCAAAAAACCCAAGAAGAAGCTAGAAATGCACTCACACATACCTCTGCCAAAGCCTAACAGTTTCCTTCAATTCAATCAAGCTGCACCCAGTTTCATATAGATGTCAGTCTCCTTAACAACACTGATTTCTTTTCTTCAGGATACATGAATTATTCTCTGGGACAAATGTATCTTACATTGTTGATGAAAGCGATAACAAATTTCTAGAATTTCCCCATGATCCGGATCTGCACCAAAATTGTATAGGTTCTTCCTTGGGCCATACCACATCCTTCTAGCAAGTTTTGTTAATGAATCCATCCTGATGTTTTTTGTAATCTTGCTTACAAACAAACCAACAAACATAACCTTCTGTTCTTGGTAGAGAAGAACATTTCAGAAATTAAGACTGTTACTGATGGCTTTCTGTTTAAGCAGGTGTAAACACACAGATGTAGGATTAAACAATAGAAAAACAGCCACTAAAAACGATGGCAATAATGTTTATCTATTTACTAACAGTGGGGGTGTTGTTTTTGTCTGCAGAATGTGCCGACCCTGGGTGTCTCTGCACTGAATTTAGCCAGTCTGTTGTGTGATGAGGTCAGCCTGGCAGGCTTTGGCTACAACCTCTCCCAGCAGGCGGCATCATTGCACTACTACGACCACCTGCCCATGAGCGCCATGCTGCATCAGAAGATGCACAACGTGGACAGAGAGACAGAGTTCCTGCAGAGCCTTGTGAGAGATGGAACCATCACTGACCTGACAGGTGGGATTCATTGCTCCTTCTGTTCGAGCTGACCCCCTGACCTTTGAGGATGAAGCGCTTGCTTTTCAAGAACAAAGTGCATCCTGTCTGGATAAATACAAAGCGTCCACAAGAACAATATATATGCACACAGGAGAAGGAAGGAAATAAATGAGAGGCAAAACTTTGCATAAAGCTGTAACTTTACTCTTCATTTCTGTAATGTATGTCACAAAGTGCTTCTTGAAGAGCAAAGGTCAAGTATCTCTAGCAATATAATTAATTATCTGGTCTTTATATGTATGCGGCCCTTGAGACACCTTTTGTATCAGGATTTACCACAGAAGGAGCAGAGAAGTTGTGTGTGCTTTAGGGGGTTTCTGTCTGTCTGTTTGTCTGTATGTCTGTCTGTGGACAAAGTTTTTTACTGCAATAATATCAAATCTGTGGAAGATAAAGTCACTGAATATTACAGTTTGGTTTATGTCAAAATAGAGGCAGAGCTCAGATGGCGGTAATACAGGGGTCACCAACCTTTTTGAAACTGAGAGCTTCTTCATGGGTACTGAGTCGTACGAAGGGCTACCTGTTTGATACACTCTTCTGAAACAACAAATCTGCTCAGTTTGCCTTCAGTTATATATTATTATTAATGATAAATGATACTCATCTATGTGAAGACACTGATCACCTTAATGATTTCTCACAATAATTATCAACAATGACTTAACAAGGTGGGAAACTGATAATATCAATATTCAACACTTTATTTCTATTAATCTCAGCAATTGTTTACATTTTCAGACGATCACTTCTACAACGAAAAATGTCCCATTTTCACTAGCCACTGACAAACCCTTTTAACAAATCATAGTCAATAGTCAACTTCAATATGAGAATAAAAATTTGACAGTATAAAAAACTAATAATTTAATTTAATTAGAAACACATATCAAATTTTAGACGCAGCTCACTGGTGAGTTGTGTTATTTTTAGAATAGGCATGCGGGCTACTCATGTGCTCCTCGGGGGCTACCTGGTGCCTGCGGGCACCGTGTTGGTGACCCCTGATGTAATATCCATGAACAGTTTCTACATGTACATCATTCTGCAAAGGACAAGATTTTGGGGCTTGAAGCCTTCTGGTTTGCGTTTCTAGTTTGACCAATCACGTGTGAGCAGGCTTTGGTTGCCCGCAAACAAAGGTGAACAAAAGAGGTGCAACACTTGGAATGAAATTTATCAGCTGTATTCTTTTTACTTTATCTGCATTCATAGCTCAAATGGAAGACAGAGTCTTCAGGTGTCTACACCAGAAGCCCTATATATTGGTTGTTGCCACTAGAGAGCAATTGCGCAATAGCCGATGGGCTATGATTGAGATGGGTGTGGTATGACTCAGTACTCATCAATATATTCAATGCTGATTATGGACCCCAAACTCTACCTTGTGCTGATAGTATAAAAAGTAGGCCCTATTCATACCTGGTGCTGTCTGTCCCTAGAGATCCAAACACAAGTGGACAGCTCCAAGTTCTTCTGTTCACACCTGCTGTGACCACTTGTCATCAGATCTTACTTCCCTGCTCTTTCTGAATATACATATGTATGTTGTTTCTGTTTGCAAAGACCAAATGTTGTTTTTGTCTTGTCTGTTATCAATGTGTGTGTCCAGAGGGGCTGAGTTAATCAGTTCAGTATGTGCAGCTCTACAATGAAATAAGATTTTTAACCCAAATACAAAATCAATATGTGGCAGTCAGTGTTGAGGATGAAGTGGTGTCTAAAGACACTTATGGTTTGTTGTTGTGGGTTAAAGACATCAGCTGGGTATGTGGTCCTCCATATTTGGACTAGGAGGCACTCAGGATGGATTTTAATACCAGGTCTGAACAGGGTCACCCACTTCTGAATTTGTGTATTTTTCTTCTTTGTTTTTTTTTTTTGCAACTTTATTTTGTGGTCTTCCAAAAGAGCTGATCTGTGAGAGAGTTTATATTTTTTTGATTGATGTATTGTTTGTATCATTTTCATTGTTTGTCATTTAGTTGATGATATTTCAGGTTAAAGGACTTTAACAGAAACTTAGTCTTAAATGAAATGGACAATAATTAGTCTGTGTGTGACCAGCAGAATGAGATAAACGACACAGTGTTCTTTCCTACTGTTTTTTTAATTTATAATTTTCATCTCTGTCTTCTAATTGCACCTTTGTTGGATGTTGTTATAATTGTCGCTGCATATACACTGGAAATGTATGTATTATTACACTGTGAGTAAATGGTTTACTTGCATCTGAATATTTTTTTTTCAGTTTTGTCTTTTATTACATTTATCCTTTTTTCCACCATATAATATAGCTCTCATTTTGCAGGAGTCTGTTTAATCTGTAAACATATGTGTTAAATGTGCCACAAGAAATTCATGTACTGTTAGTGAAAAAGAGTATTCAGAACACTCCAGGTTAAATATTACTACTATTACTACCAATATCAGCAGCTACAAATCAGAGACATACTGGTCTTTAGAGAACAAACGGCTCATACACTGCATTTTATACACATGCCAGCCAAAACTGACTGTGACAGGGCTGCCTAAAAGACAGCCGACCAAAAAAACCACTGTGGAAACCTGGATCTGCTGATTGTTCAGTGGGGTTGGGGATTGCAGGGTAACTCACGATATGATATGATACGCAATACATGATTCACCATGACATTAATATTGTGTTATAACGATTCTGTGACTGCAAGGTGATCATATAATGAAATCTGTCTAACAGAGGGATAATACCATTGCCATTAAAGAGGGTTCAGGATTTATGTATTTATTTACTGTTATTTGGTGTCAATTTCACCGAGTTAGCTACAAAACTGATATGAAAGAACGTACAAAAAAAGTACATTAAGTTTCCTCTTAGTGTCTCTTTAGTCTTTAACTACCATGCTAACTTGTCAATGTTCCCATGAGCCATCATTGTAATGTAAAATAATCACACTGCAACCGTCCATACTGTTCATATAAATATATGGCACCAGCATATCAATAATCGTATCTGATGAGTCAGGAGGAAAAAATTAGATATACTTTATTCATCCCACAACGGGGAAATTTACTTGCATATATATATATAATATATTATACATATAATAATATATAGACATATCATATTGTCTCAGTCCTGTTGTATCACAGAAGCTGCATCCAGTGTTGCCCTCATTCATAAAGTTATTGCTAAAGCTCAAGTTTTTAGGTGGAGCCGTAATCAAATGTAAAATGATCCATCCATCACTAAGTGACTTCATGCTCTTCTGTCTATACAAGACCGGAAATCAAACATTTAGACTTCAAAATATAGTGCAAAAAAAAAAATCCTAAAATCCTTTAAAGACACTCCGGGAACATTTAACTTGCCTTATAATCAACTTCAGATTCTTCCAATAAATGAACTAATAATGTGTATGTGTTGTTTATTGTTTAGCGTACGCTTTATTCCCATGACAGTTGAGCATTTGTATAGCGCATACATTTTATTTTGAAATCTTTGAACCGGAGGTGGTGTGCTTTTCTTTTAACCGCAATCCTCCGCGCGTGGTGTTCAGTGAAGAGAAGCCGGGGAGAGCTGCGGAGAACAGGTGGGAGGTCTACTGGTCCCGTAGTGTTCTGCTTCTACTAACAAGGTGTTGACCCAAAGTGTTCTGTCAAAACCATGAACGGTGTTGTTTTGAGACTGGTCTTAGTCTCATGTGTCTCGTTAACGCAAAAACTCGCGCACGAGTGACAGAAACATTCGGATGTTTTCCTAATTCCGTACTTTTGAATTCGGTGCTGACTTGAACTAACACCACTCGTGACCTGTTCTCAAATACAACGCCAGAGATATGTGTTTGAATTGATTTCCGTTGACTTTGACCGTTAACTAGCCGCGTGTGCTAATGTCCCACATGTAATCTGTGTCCGTTGGTGATTAGCCTCCATGAAAGGGGCCCCTGGCAAGTTGTAGTTTTTATGAATGAGTTTCCCCTGAGACAACGTTTTGAATGGAGTTTGTCAATGAAAGCCACTCCATCAGTGTGTGTCTGTGTCTTTGTGTGTGTGTCTTTGTGTGTGTGTGTGTGTGTGTGTGTACGGAGCACACTGCAGGTTTTGGGGTGAAAGGGGACTCCCCTCTGATTGGCTCACATCCATGAACCCACCCTGCTTTCACTGGGTGGACCTCCCCTCGGGTTTTCCCCCCGCCCCTCTGTCTTTCTCTGCGGTGGAGCTCGTTATTTACACCGGGACACTCCACGTGCTCAAGGGGTTAAAAACGAATCACAGGCTTCACATGCCTTCAGAACAACATGCATGCAACATAGGTGAAGAATGTTTGGTTGGAGCTACTTCCTGCTTGTTTGGTGTCACTATATAACATTGCTGTCTGATGCTTTAAGTGTAACCTGTTTGACTTTCAGTTTGATCAGAGGGAGGTAGTGCACATGCATGAGCACATTGCCTTGCAGTGTTTGTAGCCCCCCCCCCCCCCCCCTTGCTCTCAGAACAGCATCAGGGCTTTGTGTCATAGACTCCACAGGGTTGTTGGAAACTTTCCTCTGAGATTCTGCTTCATGTTGACATGACTGCATCACATAACGTCTGCTGCACGCTCAAGCTGTGGAGGTCATTGAAGTTCACTGAACTCACTGTGATGTTCATGAAACCTGTTTGAGGCTTTTACTTTGTGACATGGAGCAAAATCCCCCCGGAACGTAGACGATGCTAAACGAAAGTGAAGCCAAAGCGTCTTGATCACCACAAATAAGGTGAAACGTCATGAGCTGAGACATGATTGGTCAAGCGTGTGTGTTGACGACTGCATAGACTTGACTTCCAGATGGCACTGTTTTTATCCAGGATATATATGGGCTTCATTTCACTGTAGTGTGAGACGTGTTGTCTGCAGAGTCTTCAGGCTTGATGTGGTGGTGCACACACAGGGCACCCGTCTCATTTCACAGTCTCATCATGGGAAATTTAAAGTTTCCAATGATTGTAGAAGGATCTACAGAAGAAAAGAATAAAGGGAAAATGAGACAAGGAAGAGGGCAGGCTTGAAGGATAGGCAGGCAAAACAGAAATGTGTTGGTTTTTTTTGGGATCATGAGACAACAGTGTTGATACTTAGCTGAAATGGACCTACATTACTTATAATGAAGTTTGTTTCAGTCGCCTAAATATGTTGTTTGATAATGGGTCTATGTCAGGCTCACTGAAAATTATGAAGCTCAACTGAAATGACCTCATGACACACAAGATGTTCTTTTTGTATTGCAGTGTCCATAAAGACTGAATTGTTTTAGCGAATGCAAGACTGTGGTTCACATTTTTGAGTTTGCATCATTTATTATTAATTCTTTTGTGAAATATTGGATAATTCAGGTCAGTAAAACTTGTATAATTACCTCTTCATTTATTTGTCACTTTCTTTAACATTGTTAGTGGGTTTTTTTTATTAACACTGATTGCCCAGGGAATAATTCATGGATCTGGATGAAAAAATTAAGCATAGTTAAAGGACTGATGTGTGTGAAATTTGGTGCGGCTTGATTGAATTTAAGGGGAATGTTGGGCCTTGATGGAGGTTTGCACTCTGATGCCATTCTGGTTTGTTGGTTTTAGTCTTTTACTTTACTTCAGTTGTGCATACTATCAAACACATTTTCAACTTTTAAATCAGGAACATTGTTGAGATACATTTAACCTGGTGCTGTTGGTGTCACTCAGACAGTTTTCACTTTTGCCTGGTTGATAATCCAGACTAGCATAACAACAGACAATTCAATCATTTATTTTACTCACTCACTCACTCAGCTGAATGTGTTAAGGTAAATAAACAGCAGTATATCTGTATCATGCATTTACATACTGACACATGTGCGAAGTTCTTCAGCAGTCCACTCAATTTTAACATTGCCTGATTATAGATACATACTAATGTCTTTCAGAGCTTAAACGATTAGTTAAATAAGATGTTCATCAATAGACAAGAAAGGAATCTGTTTCATTTTAATCAATTAAACCATTTGTCAAAAGAAAATGCTGAACAGTATCTGCTTTTTTATTCAACTTGTGTCAATAAACGGAATTACTTCAGATTCAGGACAGTTGTGTCGGCAATATAGAATGGAATCTTACAATATAAGGCTTTTCAATGAATGGGCTTTTCCTATATTTTTCCCACTTCATTAATGAAAACAATTAATCCATAGACTCTGAAACAGCAAACACAGCCCTATTATGAAAGACACAACAGCACATGGCAGAATTCACTGTCAACAGGTCGGAGTCATCTCTATTCTGGAGTTTTTCCTCCGATCAGCTTTTATCTGACTCTGTCTAATCATCTCAGCTGACCCCACACTGGTCAGGACTCATAGGTCACTGGGGTAAAGGTGAGTGGAGCGAGCTACTGCTTTATCCTGCTGGCTTTTGCAGGTAAGCTGTATTTCTAATACAGTCTTAAGACACAAGCTACTGATGTGTTTATGCTCACTGCAGTTTTGCTCTTTTAATAGTACTATTTAGATGAATCCTATCTCACAATAATGTTCCCCCTCAACCGTCACTGTCTCATTGATCTTGTCTTTGGATAAGGTAAACGATTGTTTACATCAAGTCTTTGAAACCGTCGGGCCGCCTGTCTTGCCACAACTAGCCAATGAGAGACCTCCCTGGAGCCAGTCTGACCTTTGATTGGTAGTTTAGCAGAGGTCAACACATCACCTTGTAACAGAGTCAGTGGGAGTGTTAAGTGCCAGTAGTATATCAGTGCATCCTGTAGCTGCAGTATACGCGGCGTTCACAAGGTTGCTCTTACTGGATGCTCAGCTGCTGTTTCACCTGGCTGCTCTCTGTTACAGGTGAGACATTTGCAGGACAGATGGACATTCATCTGTGTGGTGCTCATAGAAAGTGGAAGTAGACTGAAGTTGTCTTCTCTCCATGTAGTTTGTTGAAAGCTCTAGGCGCCAGGTCTAGTTTCATAAAGGTTTTCACATCCAAGAGGCTTGAGAGGTTAGCGGTGTTATACTTACTACTACATGTTCTTTCTTCTTGGAAGTTGTGAAGTGTATTCATGATAAATGTGCAATTATCTGTTGAGGTAGCTCAGTGACTGTGGGATTATGGATTTGAGGCTGCATCATAACGATATCTATCATCAGACTGTAGTAATAATAATGCTTCCTAATTTCCCCAAAAACTGAAAAGAGCTTTAAGAACATTTACTTTTCAGTCATGGTATGAATAGTATATTTTTGTTTTCTTCACATTTATATGCTTAATGAGTGAACAAAGTAATAGATAACCTTCATCCTCAGTCCCTTTTTTTTTTTTTTTACACACCCACATGCACACCCACATGCACAGGCAATATTGTTTTTGTAACAGGCCACTGCCTTTGAACAGGCGCCATAAAGAATAAAATCTGTAGTCAGGTTAAAAAGTATCATGTCTTTTTAAAGTAAAGGTGTCATTAAAAGATATATGTTGTAGTGATTTTTAATAACGCTAACTCTAATCAGTCAAGAGTAAGTTTTAAATATTAATCACTATTTTAAACTCTATTCTCCCTTATTATTTTTTTTTTTTTTTTAATTCCCAACCTATTAAAGGTCCAGTGTGTAAGATTTATGTGAAAGGGAACTATTGGCAGAAATTTAATGTAGAATAATCCTCATGATGTTTTCACTAGTTCATTTCATCTAAATTGTATGAATTGTAGTTTTCTTTACCCCAGAAGAGGCCCTTTATATTCAAAGACTTTATATTTACATGGAGGTGGTCCTCTCTACGGAGGCCGCCATGTTTTTTTTACATTAGTCCAAACTGGACAAACTAAACACCTTTTGAATTAAAGGCTACCACAGATTCTTTTTCATGTTTGGAAGGAGAGGGTGAGGTGAGGGGGTGTTCAGCTGCAACATGTAATTTCAACACTAGATATCACAAAATTCTACACACTGAACCTTTAAGACATGTAATCAACATATCAGCCCCCACCAATCTGGCGAGAGTAGCTCCTCGTCCCCATCAGTCAGAGGATTGTTCTTGATCAGCGTTGTCTCAGTTTTATCTCTTACTTGGAATCTTTTGGCCTGAGGACATCGTCTCAGACTCTGTTTCTAATCTAATTATTCTTAAACACCTCTCTCTCTCTCTCTGTCTCTGTCTGTCTCTGTCTGTCTCTGTCTAAACCATGACAATCTTTCATTTGACACCTTCTAAACCTATCCAGATATAATCAGTTAAATAGATGATATTCTCTGTGATCTAATTATGCTCTATGAGCCAATCTTCCATTATTATTATTCTAGTCACCTCTTCTGAACGGAGGTGGTCACTTGTCTCATGTGTTCGATGACGGCAGGACAATGTATGATATCATTTTGAATTTGCCATTGCAGCAGTTTAAAACTGATCATCTGTATGATGTGTTCGGTGCTTTTAATATGCAGTTAGCAGTGGGGTAAATTAAAGATGATAAACGTGGTGAATGTTAGCTGCTAAACATCAGCATTGTACCATTTAGCTCACAGCGTGTATAGGCGCAGCCAGGTACATTCATTAGCATGTCTGTAGACTCAGTGTTGTTGTGGAACAAATGAATGACCTGTCTTCTCCTCCTCACTCTAGGCCCTCTCCTGGCTCACATCCCTCCACACACGCCTTCACCTCAGGGCATTCAGTGAAGCTCCACCTCCTCCTGAGGCCTGCAGAGAGTGCTCGCTGATATCAAACACACCGCAGCCATTATTCCAGCGTGAAATCATCTAACACACACAAACAAATCTGCTACTCCACCCAAACATACAAACAGGCCCTCTTTGAATACACTCTCCAGTAGCATCATGCTGAGCCAGGAGATCTTCCAGAAGCTGAGGTTGCCCGATCTGGATGATGTTCGTCAGTACGTCAGGAGCGTCTCTACCCCCGTGTTTGTTAGCATGGGGGCAGTTGCTGCTGCGACTGCATACTACTTTGCAACGCGCCCCAAAGCCCTCCCGTCAGTCTGTGACCTCCACATGCAGTCAGTTGAGGTTCCGGTGAGTTTTAATTGCTTCAGTCAAGTTTGCTGGTTTAGATCTGATTTTTTTAAGTTAAACTGTTCAGATCCAGGAAAGATTAGTACATAACTTAGCTGTTGTTGAATGTCATTGAATATAAAGTGTATGAAAATTGATGGAGCCAGCACCAGATTTTATGCAGGATAGTGATACTGATGCTTTTTATGTCTTACAACATTGCTACTGTAATTAAGGCCTTACGTTTTCAGTTCAAGCAGTTTTTCTATGAAGAGCCAAATTTGCTGATGATTCAAAATTTAACAGTTTATATTTTACTTAGCACAATGAATTAATCATCTTTTTGCAAAACTATCTGGGCCCTGCTAGTCCAGTTAGTAGACTCTCAGGTCAGATGGTCCCTTCCATCTCAGCTTGAAAGTAACCTGCAGAAGAAAAACTCAGCAAGAGGGACATTGACATGGAAAGTGACAAAGCTGGCTGGAATTAAAGGGCAATAAATTACACTACAAGGACAATACCCTGCCTCTTTCTGCTGTTCTGTTACAGCAATGTGTGTCCATTTGTGACTCATGGATAGTATCTTCTATTTTTGTGAAATCACATGTTAAATTAGATAGAAAATGTAGGTCTTTTTACTCACCATCAAGCAAACGTGAGCTTGACATAAATTTAGTAAAGTCAAGACACTGAATCCGATGTTGGAATTGCTGTAAGATAAATAATATTGTTTAAAACCAACATTTACCAACACAGGGTGGAGATTTTGCACGCAGATCACCTCTTCTGAACGGAGGTGGTGACTTGTCTCATGCGTACGATGATGGCAGGACAATGTATGAGTTCTTCCTCAGAGGAGCCAGAGTCTCCAGTAAGTTACAAATAACACTATGTGACCATGATTAGTGCATCAGTTGAAGAGTTACTCCTCAGCCTGTTAGACTTGCTACTGTCTGATAATATACAAATGTTTCCTTATACAAGGGGTTTAAACTAAATGTCCTAATATATATATTTATATTATATATATTTTCATGGAGGGTGATTTTTTATTTTTATTTTTTTTTGACAAAAGTAGTGAACCTTTAGAGTCAGTAGCCATCACCGGTTACATCACGGCACCGTACCTCTACAGTAAACGTTATACTGCTGCCCAGTATGTACCTTTCCAGCCGGCCACAGAATATACACTAGAGGATCTGATATGTGATATGTGTTAAGTTGAATTTCTCATTCTGCTTTTCATTGTCTTTTTTTCTTCTATCCTCTCTTGCCCCATCTGTGTCTCTCCTTTATTCCTCCAGATAATGGTCCCTGTCTGGGCTCCAGGAAACCAAAACAGCCCTATGAATGGATGTCCTATGGAGCGGTAAGACTCAACAACAGCAGCTCACCTTGTAAAAGCATTACGGCCTCCAGCTGGACAGTAGTACCAGCACTCACTGACACCTGCTACCACCACAATGGTAGCAGGTGGAAAGGTGGGGGAAATATGGCCCCCTGTTATTATCTATACCACTTAGTGTTAGAGAGTCACAGGGTGAGCTGGAGCCAATCCTAGCTGACATCGGGCAAGAGGCAGCGTATCAGAGTATCACACATAAGCTCTTTTCAGACATGACCTGTGGGTCAAATCCAGAGAATTGGCCGTGGACTTCAGCGGCAGTTTGCCCCTCACACATGCAAAACGCAGCGGTGGGTTTTCTGCAAAGAACGACCCCGGGCGTAACCGGGTTACCATCGCGCTGCCCTAACGTGACCTCTGTGGACTGTTATTGTATTTGAACTGTATTTCCTCTCACATGGAAGTATTAAAAAGGCATTTTACTAGTTTTGTCGTGAAGCTGTCCACAGCTCTGTAGGATCTTTCAAATCTCAACTCAACCTTGAAAACTAGAAACTCACGTTACAAACCAGGGCTGTAATGAACATTTTCAAGTTTGCGGCAAACATATACATATTGTTTGATACGTTATAGCAGCTTTTTCGGTGTTCTGTTGGCTCATCAGGACTCTTTATCTAGTATAACAGGACTGCATGAATAGTAATTTTACTGCCAGCACCATGTTAACCTTGTATTGTGTGTGTGTGTGTGTGTTAGGTAAAGGAGAGAACAGAGAATCTAGGTTCCGCATTTCTTCACAAAGGGCACTCCAAGACCACCGACCCCCACATCGGCATCTTCTCTCAGAACAGACCTGAGGTACACATGTTTGTACATCTATCTTAGTGAGGACACTCATTGACATAATGCATTCCCAAGCCCCTTACCCTGACCTTAACCATCAAACCTAAATGCCTAACCCCGAAATCAAGTCATTCCTCAAACAGTCCACAGTGATCTTCATTTCTTTGTATGTTTTTATTTGTGTGTGGTTTTAGTGGACCATCACTGAGCTGGCATGTTACACATATTCGCTGGTGTCAGTCCCTCTGTACGACACCCTGGGAAAAGAGGCCATTGCCTACATTATAGACAAAGGTAAACCACAGTAACAACAACCTGAATACACGTTTTCTTATGTGTCTTGTTAGTGTTGGTGAAAAGCTGCTGGTGATTGTTCTACATGGGTTTGTTTTTTGTTTCTGCAGCGTCCATCTACACTATAGTGTGTGACGTGGTAGATAAAGTCAACCTGGTACTTGACTGTGTGAAGAATAGGAAACACACTGTGAAAACCATCGTTCTAATGGAGACACCAAGTCCTGACCTGGTCAGCAGGGGGAGACAGGCTGGAATCCACATCCTCAGTCTGCAAGAGATGGAGGTCAGCAGGCAACGTCTGTCCCCACCCTTCCTCTTTATTTTGTTCCTCATTCACTCCTTTTTTAATGTTTTTTTTCCCCTTAACGTTTTCTGTCTTTGCATTCTTGTTTAGTTTTTGGCTTTTCTTTTTCTTTCTTCTTTTTTGTTGTCCAGTTTTGATTTGTTTGTTATTTGATTTTGTTGTTAATACTTCTGTTACGTTGTGTTCTAGCTTTTTTCTTGCTAGTTTTTCTCTTGTGCTGACTTCATTCTAGTTGTCTTGCTTTTTAGTTTTTGTATTTTCTTTGTCCTCTTATATTCCATCTCTATTGACTAAATTAACTAGAGTTTCCTGTTCTGCAGGCTATTGGAAAAGCCAACCACCACCAACCAGTGGTAAGTACTGTAAGCATTGGCCTGTTAAAAGACCTCTCTCTCTCTCTCTCAATGATTAAGTTGTGTAAAGTGGCACTGTTTGACCTTTTACATCATCATCCCTCCAGCCTCCGCAGCCCGATGACATGGCAGTCATCTGCTTTACCAGCGGAACAACAGGTGAGACACACATGGAGAAAAGCACCCAAAATAATTCCTATTAGTTGTGTCAAGGTGTGGAAATTGTGGAAATTTTCCTGCCAGGTTATAAATTCATGACAACACTGGTCTTACCAATTACAGCAGAAATTTAACAAGAAAAGAAAAGTGTTAGCCCAGTGTCCACACAGGGATTACTGAGTAGGGTCTGTAACGTAAAAAAGTTTTATGTCCATAAAAAAACAAACAGACTGTGGCTGTTGTGCAAGTTATAGAACCACATGTGCCAGAACACCCATTACACTACAGCATCAACCCTCATTTCCATCAATACATACAAAATCTATACTTGCTCTCTAAAGTTGTGTGTGTGTGTGTGTGTGTGTGTGTTTGCACTTTCAGGAGATCCAAAGGGAGCTATGTTGACACACGGGAATATTGTGTCCAACTGCTCATCCTTCATCAAATTGACAGAGGTGAAAGAGGCTGATGAAACATGTAATCTGCTTAAGTCACAGTGAAACAACAGTTTATTTGCCATAGTCTTTGGAATAGAAGCAGTTTTAGATCAATTTAATTCAAAGGAGGCAGGTTCCTCGTTCTCTCCTCTACAGCCTCCTCTCCTAGATAACGAGGTGGAGGCTAAGGGAGAAACCACATTATTTTGAATTTAAACACTGCTCCTGGTGTGATACTGCTCTGCGAGCAACTGCACATTAATTGCCAGGAGTAACTCAGAGTGGCCACCGGGAGCACAAGATAGGTAGGAAAGTGAGTAAAAAGAGAAAGTGAGGTTAGAGCAATGTGAGTGTAATGCAAGATGGAGCCGAGAAAGTCAGACGGTGTGAGGGAAAAACATGTTGGTGACATGTCTTAGATATAGGGTGAGGGGCTTTGATAATCTCTTTGCTTTTCTCTCCAGTCATACTCTCAGACCACCTCAGAGGATGTGATGCTGTCTTTTCTGCCTCTGGCCCACATGTTTGAGAGAGTGGTGGAGGTACAAACATCATCACTGATGTCTTTCTCTCCCCGTCTGTTGTTGTGTGTGTGTGTGTGTGTGTGTGTGTGTGTGTGTGTG